AGATATCAATCAAGTTCTTTTTGGAGAGTTTTTACAGAGGGGGTAAGTGGTTAGAGGAGGGATTCCAAGGAGGAGAGCTCTAGAGAATTCTTGAGGTTGAGAGAGAAGGAGGAGGTGAGCGTTGTGAGGGAGAAGAGGTGTGAGGGAGATCACACGTTGCTCCAAGCTGCTGCATCTTGCTCCTCCTGTGGCCCAGAAGGATTTGAGGGAGGATCTCCAAGGGAAAGGCTCGTCTACATCCGTTACCTCGAGGTTCTCTGCCTTCTCCAGGAGGGAGAAAAAGAGAAGGTTCTCTGCCGTCGCCAGGAGGGCGAAAGCAGATTTGGTACTCCGCCACGCCGGGTTGGTGAAAGGGAGGTTTGTACAGGCTTCTCCCCTTGCCGAGGGGGGCAAAAGGAGAACTATTTTATAGTGAAAATCCCGAGTGGAGGACTCGGGGAGTGGACGTAGGTCATATTTTGACCGAACCACTATAAAAATTCTTGGTGTGTTCTTTCTTATCGGTTTACTTTTTGCTTGCATTTTAATTTTCATATCTATTGCATGTGTTTTGTGAAAGAAAATTGCATAAATTTTTTTTAAAATTTTCAAAAAAACAAAAAATTAGAACTCTTGTTTAGGGTTAATTTTATTAAGAAAAACTTTTACAATTCACCCCCCCTCTTGTCGTTCAAGTACTTCTAATGAAGAGAGCAATAAAGGTAACCTAAATCAGAAAGAACAAATCAGCACGTCAAGAAATTAATAATAACTTAAAAAGCTTGCAGAAGAACCGCAAAGTCCATTCCAGACCCCGATTCTGGCTCATATAGGTATCATACGAGTAATCATAACGCCAACCCCCAGCATAATGTTGAAAATTGATTAGGTTGTTAACCTAAAGATATAGTCCCAAGGCTAACCAAAGAGGGGGGTGGGTGAATTTAGTAATTTAAAATATTTCTCTTGGATTTAAATTTGAAAGTGTGTTAATTTTTAAAGTAAAGTTAATAAAGTTTCCAAATATTTTTCAACACGATAAATAACTTGCAGTAAATAAAGTGGAATTAAAAAAGACACAAAGATTTATAGTGGTTTGGTCAAACATGGACCTACATTCGTTCCTGAAGGCGCCCTCTTGTTAGGTATTGCCACTAATTATCAAAGTGGATTTCCTTTTGCCCCCATATAAGGCAAGAGAAGGCTTTACAAAAACCTCTCTTCCAGCCAATCCCTATTTGCGGCAGAAAATCGTCCATTCCCTTCACCTCTCCAAGTGTTAGCAAGAGAATCGTCGTCCTTTCACACTCTCCAAGTATCGGCAGAGAACCGTCATTATTTCAACCTCAAGTAATAGGCAGAGAACCTTTTTCCTTTTCACACATCCAAGTGTAGGTAGAGAACCTTTCACTTTTCACCCCTCTAATGCGGCAGACGAATCGAATCTTTTTTTTTTTTAAAAAAAATTATTACAAAAAAAAAAAAAAAAAAAAACAAAAGAAATATTTATCTTTCTTACTTACAACAAATTATTTGACATCATCAAAAAGGGGGAGATTGTTGCAACCCATGACCCCGAGTTTGAGATTTTGATGATGCCAAATAATGAGTGACTTGGAACTGCTTTTCATTGCTTATTATTTTATTTGTTATTTTCCTTGAGCACTAACATTTCAGGAAGATCACAAGTGACTCAGGAAGAAAGGAAGACTCAAGACCGGGTAGATTAGGAGTACGAGTCAAAAATTGTATTTTTCCATTTATTGTATTTTTTACTTTATTGAGTCTGGCCACAAAATGCGAAAGAGTAAGAGCAACCATGCACACACACAGGGGGAGAATTTTTTTTTAACTGAAAATATAAGTAAAATTCTTCTCTGGAGATCGTACTGTACGATGTTATTTCGTACCGTACGATCCAGGCTATGTGGGCAAATCTGTGAATAGATCGTACTGTACGAAGTACTTCGTACTGTACGATATGTTCAGATCCAAAAACCCTAGCCGTGACTTAATTTGAGGAAGTGATTTTTGCGCCGTTCGTACTGTACGAACTTGTTCGTACTGTACGATCTGTATTAAATACTTACTTAAATTAACACGTGATTAGTGCACGTAATCAAGGCCTAATTGAGATTTGCACATCGTACTGTACGAATATGTTCGTACTGTACGATTGGTTTTAAATACTTACTTAAATTAACCCGTGATTAGTGCACGTAATCAAGGCCTAATTGAAATTTGAACATCGTACTGTACGAACTTGATCGTACCATACGATGAACAGAGACGAAGTATGATCGTCCCGGATATCGTCCGGTACGATCTCTTGGTTTTTGTCACATCGTACTGTACGATGTCAATCGTACCATACGATGAACAGAGACGACATCCGATCGTCCAGACCATCGTCCTGTACGAATAGTATGTGGTTGAATCGTACCGTACGATATTGTATCGTACAGTACGAATTGTTTTTGTACTGTTCGTACACCTTCGTACCAGGACGACGGCTGTTTATGAAGATCGTACTGTACGATGATGAATCGTACTGTACGAACAGTAACGGCTAATTTTGAATTCAGAGGTTTTTGGAGCCTTTTTTAATATGCCAATCAAGTTCTTTTTGGGTAAGATTGTTAGAGAGGGTGAACGTGATTAGAGAGGGATTCCAAGGGAGAAAACTCAAGAGAAATTCTTGAGGGTTGAGAGGAAGGAGGAGGTGAGCGTTGTGAGGGAGAAGAGGTGTGAGGGAGATCACACGGTTGCTCCAAGCTCGCTGCATCTTGCTCCTCCTGTGGCCCGAGAAGGATTTGAGGGAGGATCTCCAAGGGAAAGGCTCGTCTGCATCCGTTACCTCGAGGTTCTCTGCCTTCTCCAGGAGGGAGAAAAACGAGAAGGTTCTCTGCCGTCGCCAGGAGGGCGAAAACAGAGTTTGGTCTTCCGCCACGCCGGGTTGGTGAAAGGGAGGTTTGTACAGGCTTCTCCGCCTTGCCAAGGGGGGCAAAAGGAGAACTATTTTTATAGTGAAAATCCCGGAGTGGAGGACTCCGGGGAGTGGACGTAGGTCATATTTTGACCGAACCACTATAAAAATCTTGGTGTGTTTGTTCTTTATCATTGTTTACTTTTTGCTTGCACTTTAATTTTTCATATCTATAGCACGTGTTTTTTTTTGATAAAGCAAAATTGCATTGATCTTTATTTTAATATTTCAAAAAACAACAAAAAATTAGAACTCTTGTTTAGGGTTAATTTTTTATTAAGAGAAAACTTTTTACAATTCACCCCCCCTCTTGTCGTTTAGTAATTTCAATTGGTATCAGAGCTTGTTTTTCAAA